AAAAGATCCAAGTTTTTTTTGACAAGCAAGTGAAGTCTTGATGGTAGATGAAATACTCCAACCACCACCGTGCCCGTTAACAGTAGATATGTAAAATGGCCGCTAAACAAATTTGGAAAAATATTGTGCTTATCCTAATATTCAAACGCAATTTGTGATAGCGACACAGCAGATTACGGACTAGCAAGTACGTACCTTATTTAGTAGGACGAAAGGACCGGAAAATACCCAACACGAAAAATATACTCCCTCAAAACTCAATAGCTCTCTCATTTCCTTATTACTGGAAATACGGCTGGGAAATTTGTTGGGAGGTATGTTTATCGCGGGAAGGGGATCTTATTAATATATTTTATCCCCTTCGCCATTTCAAGTATCGAAACGCGGGAAGAATATTCTACGGGCTTGACAGTGATGTATAAATTAAAAATCGATTATAGATTAATTAAATCACGGCTCGGGCAGGACTCGAGCCGGCATCCAGTGTTCCGTTCCGACTCTGTAACTCGGTAGATTTTTAATTAATATAGTGCCATCATGTGCAATAAAGTGAAATCTCGTTTCCCCTCGTGGGGAATACGGCGAACACATATCTGTGTCCGTTTCACTGATCGGTTTTATACAGGGAAGTAGTTGATCAACTTCTGTGCCCTGCCCGACCGAAACAATTTACTGTTTCCGCCGGGGATTCGAATCCATCTCGCGCTTATCGCAATGCTGGGAAACACGTTTACCTTTTTAGCTACAGAGCATCGTGTGCAATAACATGTGAAAAATATTAAAGTTTTCAGTGAATTATTTTTTTATGGTAGTATAGGACAGACACACACGGGGTACACTAGTTGGATAGTGCAATACTCCAGCCACGTAACAACTCAACAAGATGGCCTTTCAACCTTTTGGCTTTTAGATTTCCTAACGAAGTTCAACATCTCAAACTAATTCTAAATTGATTATAAACATGTTGGACGCGGTGGGGGGCGAACCCAAGACCTGTATCAGCCATACAATAGATCGACGAGGCTATCTAATTAGGTATAGTCGAAGATACGACAGACTGACTCATACAATTTAAAAAATATAATATAGCCATAATACTTTCTAAAAGTTGACAATAATTGAAATACAGGCAGACGAAGACACAATTATTATAATACATTATTACTGTTACAAATTAGGAAGTACTTTATGTATAATTTTTATGTATATCTTTTAGAATAAACTTGCAAGAACAACGGGACGCGCACGACGTCGTGGGTAAACGCTATACATACTTTATATATTTTTATATACTTTATATTAGGTTTGCAGAAAAAATTAGACGATCAAAATACAATTCTACGCGGACAAAGTCACTGTCACTGCTAGTATTTAAATAAATTACATAAGAATAAATTACCTTTCATTCATTTCATTGAGATACTTCAAATTTGTCTTTTAGTCCTATAGTTAATCTTATATAACTTCTAAATAAATCGGACTATTCTCTTATAAAAAACTCTCAAAGTTCTATCGAGAACATTGCTTGTTGCTCAAATAATGTTTATAAATCACCCATGAATATCAAACTACCCACTTGTTGATTCATAGCTTTTACGTAGGTTAGTTAGGTGTTGCCGTTTCATTTTCTAATGGACGAGTAATTATTATTTTAATGTGTCCTTAATGACATCGCATTTTGTTTATTATTAAATATGACACGCAAGTCGACTTATTAATTTACGTAAAAGTACTAAGGTTATTTTTTTGTGAACAACAACTGAAGTGTAACTATGCCCATAAAATAGTTTTGATTATTTATTTATTATTTTTATATAGTTCCTTTCGCTAGCAATGTAAAGTTTACAAGTAACATTATCTATACTTTATAGTATTTTTTTATGTTTCTCTTTTATTATGTCCGTAACTGAAAGTAATTTATAAGTTTAATAATTTAAATAAATACTATTGTGATCTGTACCACAGCTAATTATTGTAATTTTATAATTGGCGTATTCTGATATCAATCACACAATCTCTCCACAGATAAAGTTATATAGTTTAGTAAGCATAACGACTCTAACATAACCTACGTCGATTAATTTAGATTAAGAGTATATAGTCTATAACGTGTACGCATTTTAATTCGTAACCATAGACACATTTAACGTCATGTCGATACAGATTAAAATTGCAAATGTACTCAAGTTTTTGCATTGTTCCTAGTTTTTTTTTCTCTATTTAATTATACAGGCTAAGGTAAACTAAAATCAATTACGATTATGATTAGATATTATGGCGAGTACGATACGGTAGCCCAATGGTTGGACCTGCGTCTAACACGGATCGCTGTAGATGCCGGTGCAAGTCTCGCCCGTATTGTTTTTATACCTATAATAAGATTAAACACAATCTCTAGTTTACGCGAGTAGTACATATTTAAATAAAACAGTTCACGATTTATTAGTTAGAGTTGTTCGAAAATTATAGTCTACCGAACCACGGCTGCTGCAAAGCATCCGAAACGTCGAGACGTACTTTTAAAGTGTTTTATTTAAATATTATAAGGTTTTTAATAATATATGTAATAACATGTTTAAAAATATTAGTCAAACGTTTGACGTTATAATATCATTACTAAACAGGATAAATGGATTCTTAATGTATATAAAGATTTAATGAAATTAATATATAATGTGACGGACTTGTTGGCCTAATGGTAGCAATGTATGGCTAATGATCGACGGGTCGTGGATTCGATCCCCACCGGATCCAACGTGTTTCTAATATTTCAATTTATAACTTTACTGAAAGATGTTGGACTTCGGCTGGAAACCTGAATATTAAATGGGTGGGTAGGAATATAGACATTCCATCCGGGTCACAAACCACCGCTCACAGATGAAAAAGCCGTGAAGCTTAATCGCGTTTCGGTTTCAATCTGTGGATTTCCGAATATCCAATGCCAAAATAGAGCAACAGCACATCTTGTTTAGAGGCTGGGGTATATCACCCATCATTAAGTGAACTTATGCCATGTCTGTCATCCTCTTTTATTAAACAAAAATATATAGTACTATAATCTGTGTCCTCATTTGAATCTGTAACAATAGCCTTCTCTAACATCGGTCAATAGCTGTCGCTGATAAACGAGGTCCCGTCAAAGAAAGCCCATTAATCTATGTCCACAATGGATGCAAATTAAAGTGCAGCGAACGGCAGACGAGGCTCAATAAGACGTTAATTGACATCGTTTTGTCTTTGAGAGACAACCTGGCCTGTTTTCACTATGGACGCTTTCTTATGTGGGATGGTCAATATAATATTTAGCTCTGTACGCTTCCATAGAGTTAGATATTATGTAGACTAGAGTGACAAGGTGTCATAATATATTCACAGATAGCTAGTAGATTTTAGTTTTGACAGTGTTCATGGTTCTGTGGTCACTTGTTCCCCTAGCTACGCTAAGGATTGTAGTTGTTGTGTTTAAATCCAGAGTATGCAATTAAATTATTTATTTATTTTAATTAAGCTTAACTTACAGCTACAAAAACAGTGAATGCAATGGAAAGAAATAGTGTGCTAATTATAAGTTTCTACAGTAAAGCGAATTCTCTGTACGTAATATCTTTTTACGTAAGATTCTTAACGGTTTAAAACGTGAAATGTATTAGTTAACTTATGTACAATTTATTTTAACTACGGCCCGACATTTCAAAGGCTTCGCAGCGGCAATAAATATATAAATGCTAAATAAATATAAAAAATACACTGGCAATAAATAGTAAATAACCAATACATTTCGCGTTTTATGCAGTTAATTTACAACAATTAAATGTGGACTACTCGTGTATACTTTAGACAAGAATGTATTGACGTAATCATTTTAACCATCTAATTTAATCATTGAAAATTCGAAAACCTGAAGTTAGATGGTAAAATTAAATATTTAAACGTAATGAAGACTTGCAAGACATTTGGATCTATTTTAATAATTACATTACGTGGTCATGAATTATATAGCGGATGTGCGGCCTCGAAAACGACCACGACAGGATGTTGTAAAATTATCTTCAGTGAAAAACAATTTTAAGATAATATTTGAGTTAAAACCAATAATTAAATTGTTATAAGAATTAGAACGTTAGCAAAGAATAAAAATATAGGTAACAGTAAGTCTCGTTGATTATAAATGAAATGTTATAAATATGTCACACTTTTATAATTTAAAAATCGAAAATAAATTGAAAAAAATTTCGACTCGGGCAGGACTTGAACCGGCATCGTCAGCGTTCCGTGCTGCTGCTCTACTAATTGAGCTACCGAGTCACACTTTGACAATTTTTCGATTCATAAATGCACGTCTTATTATAACAAAATAATTTTATACACCAGATCCCTTCTGACCGATATTTTAACGGTTAAGTAATATCGCGTTTAAAACCGTTAAACGTGTTTTATTAAATTGTACCTACTATCTGATGTGACAGATGATTTACGGGAGCTATAGCCATGCGGTAAAGTTACCTAATATCGAGTTTTAAACCGTTAAACGTATTTTTATTAAATGTGTGCTACTCGCGTAAACTAAAGACAACACTTGAGGCTTTTGTAAAAACATAACGTTGATGCCGTTATCTATATTTATTATTCTCAGTTCATTAGATAGGCATACAATTATTAGATACGATTAAGCCATACTTATTAAAAGTGAAATCTCGTTTCCCCTGTGGGGTATGGGGTGAATACATTTAGGTCCGTTTCACTGACCGGTTTAACTTATAGGCAAGTAGTCGATAAGGCTTCTGTGCCCTGCCCGACCGAAACGATCTATTGATTTCCCGGGATTCGAACCTTTACGCAAAGCTAGGCAACACGTTTCACTATTTAACTACAGAGGCGGTCATACTTATACCGTATTATTAATTGTTCGTATTATAAAATAGCCCGCTGTCTTCAATAGCGAAAATATATTTTTTACGTTAAAGAGTGTTCAAATGTGTTTATTCTATTGGTCTCACCTAGCCAACAACGTAGCGTCCATTATTTGCGGCTGCCGGGCGTCTACGACGACCACGTGCGGGATTCGAGTGTCCAAATCGCGTCGGAATGCGTCCAGCGCTTCCCTTGCGCTCCTCACTGCGCGCGCTTCGCCGCCTGCGCGTGCGACGGCGTTGCAAGCGGCCGCGCATACGCGCGACGCTCGCTCCGGGAACACGCATAGTAACTGGAATAGATATCTTATTTAATAAATAATATACGGTTATAATGTAATAAAAATATAAAACAGCCTCATTTAATCGATTTTTAACCTTAGACCAATCAAACATTTTTACGACACCGGTAGAGCCGGTATATACAGCGTCACGTGCTCTTGCTTTAACCAGTTGGGCTACCGTGTCCTACACGTCATCGTCGATTCTTCGCGACGCGTAAAGTAATTTTAACTAATTTAGTAGGGTTCGATTCCCTACCGGGTCTAAGATCTATCTAATCATTTTATAATTTTTCTGAAACAAGTTGGATTTCTTTTGGAAAACTGGGTATTAAATGGGCAATATTAAAATTCCGTCCGGGGCACGAACCACCGTCTGCAGATGACAAAATCGTTCAGTTTATTTGCGTTTCGGTTCAGACGAAGTTCAACATGTTGAACCAGATCTGGATCGAACCCAAGGATGGTATCCCTACATTGCGAACATATCACAATACAAATACTTCAGATAAATTTAATTAATTGCCTTCTAATCGTTGTAAATAAACGACTTTTTGCACCTGTAAACTGACACCGTTTGACACTAGTGCAGTGAATAATTATTTATGTCAATGTGTGTGTGTGTGTGTAAAAGTAAATGGTAATTAAGGATTGAGTACTTAGCGTGGATTACGTGTATTACGACTAATCCGCATAGATAATTCAAAGATTGTGTTTAATTGAAACTGATTTTAAATGTTTTATCTGAGTTATAAGTTGAGAATGATGGTTACAACTTATGAATATAATTTTTGTTTGTTTTTTATTTTATGTAGCACAAAATCATCCTCGTAATTAAATCTAGTTCAAGAGAATTTTGTCTATTTCGATAAAAATTATGAACGAAGTTAAGAACAAAAATAATATTCTAAAATGTTAAGTAGTGTCTGTTGTTTAAGTGTGTAGTACATTTAATTAATACAGTTTTAACGGTTCAAAACGCGAAATATATAAGTTAAGTTATATGATATGATATTTTTTAATTACATTGATTTTATGCGAGCAATAGACATTAAATTAAAGCACTTCAAACGGTTTAAAACGCTAGATATATTAGTCATATAGTATTATATGATATGATATTTTAAAATTTACATTTATTTTATTAATTAAGTTTACTCACCTCTAAAGGTTCGGGTGGTGCATAGAACAAAGATGAGGGTATTTGTGCAGGCGGCGGTGATCTGTTCTGCAAAGAGAATAACACATGTAACATTAAGTTAAATCAACTTAAAAATTATACCAGGTGAAACTTATATGTAGGTACGCTTTCGTTTACAAAAATTCTTAGGTATTTAAAAAAATACTTGTTTATTATATATAAAAAAAATAAAAATATTGACCTATCACACTACCATACTATAAGGTCTTACGCGGTTTAATAGAACTTCGGTCGGGATGGGCATAAACAGAATTCCACTGAAACATGCGCATGATTAACGTGCGCACGAGACACACGAGCCAGATAAACAGAATTTTAAATTTCGAATTCGTAAGGCGATTAATTATAAAGCTACATTTGAAACTAAAAACACGTAGCCTAGGTATTAAGAGAATAAAATAAAACGTTACTTTTAAATCTTATTCATCGAACGAATAATATTCGTTCCACGGGGGGGGGGGGGGGGGGGGTGGCTAATAAAATAACAAACACGTCTAACAATAAAATAATTTAATATTAATGATTAATTAAATTATTATTAGTGTGCAATAACATGTAAAAAATAATAAAGTTTTTAATAATTATATTTCGCACTAATACCAGGATTGGACAGATAATTCTATGACTAAGTCTGTAGATAACACGAGTGACACAAATTATGTAACGTTTTTAATTGTTTAAAACGTGAAATGTGTCTGTTAAATAGGATCATATATTCCGTGTGCTTTATAGCCGGCGTGGTCACTAAGTTTGAAATTTAAACCGTTGAAATTGGTTTTATTTAATTCTGTGACCCTTTATTGTTAGTAGTATTCGTTATCTATAGAATCACTTAATTATAGCAAAATAATAATCTTGGAAATCAATCAAGCTTATATCTCTCGATCGGCAGATAAGACAGATAACGACACGACACAATGTACATTTGTATTAACTAATAAGATTAATTTAATTTTTAAATATGCAATGAATATTATATATGGGGATAGCCAATTTTTATAGATATAATTACGTGTATGAGTCTTGTAGTGTAGTACATTATTAGTACTAGACTGGACGAACGGTTAAATAAGTCGTAATAAGAGGTCAAAGCTTGTAAAGTACTTTCCTCAAATAATGCGCGAAAATTAAAACTAAGTAGTACAATTCAGAACTCTAAACCAATGACGAAGTGGACTAATAATTAATAATAGTTTTTTATACGCCAAAGTATTTTTTTCTACTTAACGGGTCTGTAATTGCCAGCCAGTTTAAATTTGAATTAAATTTTTGGATAAGAGGTCACTCTTTAGTCGCCATGTTGCAAAGAAAAAGATCGTTCCATTTTTAAAATGCACGACATATATGATTTTAAATAGATCTTTCTTTGGTCGCTTAACATAACAGGTATGGATTTGCTTACAAATATTGCCGGCCGCTGCTCGACCAGAAACCGAAAAGGTCGATTTATCTCGACGAAGGTTGTCAAAACAATGCTCGAATTTCCAAGCACGTTTGAGAAAATTAAATTTCCTTTTGTATGTTACTGTGTTATTAAAAACTGTGCTTGTCTGTTATATAATCATAACTAAATACAAATATTTAGTTGATAAGCCATTATGAATATATACCTAACTATTATAACCTTTCAAAAGCAAAAAATAAATTGAATAAATTTTTCAACTCGGGCAGGACCAATTGAGCTACCGAGTCAAGTACTCGGTAGCTCAATTGGTAGAGCAACAGCACGGAAAGCTGACGACGCCGGTTCAAGTCCTGCCCGAGTCGAAAATTTTTTCAATTTATTTTCGATTTTTAAATTATATAGTAATAAAATAATAATAAAGTTTTCAAATATAAATAATGATTCGTCGTAGAGAACGATTTCATGGTAATCAGTTTCGGCCGAATTTAATGAATTATTACCAATTATTTGTTAGAGTTGTATCAATATAATAATCTATTTTTGGCACGTAGTTTATGGGATTAGTGTGACAGACAAGCAATCAAACTCTTCAGCTTTATAATATTAATATATATTCAAGAAGATAGATATTAATTCAGTGTTGGGAGGTTTTTTTATTTCTAGTCCGTGCCTGATGAAGTACGATTTGGCGTTATCTCCATGACAAATTTATAATTTTTTTGAAACATGTTAGCTTTCGTCTGGATATCTGGATATTAAATAGGTGTTAACCACTATCGTCGACAGATAGATAAGCAGTGAAGTTAAATCACGTGTCGGGTTGTCTGTGGATTTCCAAATATCCAAAGCCAAAAAAATAGGCCGACAGCGCATCTTGTTTAGATGTGCTGGGTATTTCGCCAACCATTAAGTGAACCCCAAGCTCGTCTGTCCTCCTTTGTCATTAAAAAAAATAAACTAGCGGCTGGTAAAATAAAAAAAATACCTAAAAATAAATATAAACGTTAGTTAAATAACGCTTATCACTTTCGGGTACGAAAAATACATAGTAACCGATTCTCAGAACTTCTGAATGTGCATATAAAATTTTATAAAAATCGGTCGAGCCGTTTCGGTTCTCAACTAACCCTGTGACACGTTTATAAGTTTAATTTAATAGGCTTATGAGGCACTGATGAAACACTAACAATATTTATTTCCTACTATGAAGAAAGATATAAGATTCGTTAGCTCGCGGCGTTAAAAAGTGTTTATACAAGAATCCTCAGGGAAGTTAATAAAGATTTCTCCACATAATATTAACTTGGAAAACTAATTTAAAATCTAATATGGCCTTAATTGCTTTATAAAGTCATAAGATGTAATAATTAAGAGCAATGCGATGTCAGGATAAGACGTGGGCGAAACCTCCAGAGTGCGTCCCACACGTTTGCACTGAAAATAGCGAGACATATTTCGTGGCACGAGGACGTTCAAGTAACGATTTATTGTTCGCTATCGGAAATACCGGTTTTCAAAATCGATAAACCGTCTTCTACATATCATTGTTTTTCGACGTTTCGCCATCGCAACTCTTCGAGGAACTAACAACATCTGGTGCAATCTAGGAACTAACAACATCTCCTGGTGATGTTCGACGACGAGAAAGAACCTCTTCTCATCGTCAAACGTCGAGCGAACAGCCCATAAACAATGATCGTGAAAGCCTCACACAATTTATTAAGGTGTCTTCTGTATCTCAGTACCGATTTATTTTATATAGATTTTAGAATACCAGTTTTCTATTTGGAAATTTCATTGATTGTTGCAATGGGCCGTATAAACGGCGCCATGTTGTATACCTATATGTCAAAATTAATTAAACGTCGACAGCCATTTTACATAATAACGATGAACTTATTTATGCAACGATAAATTAATACAAAATTAATTTGTCGCAGCCTTGCACAATGTTTGCAGTGCTAAGTATGTAGGAGAGAAATCTTTTTCAACATCACAATTATTTAATAAGCTATTTTGCTAAAAAGCAGTGTGACGTATGTATAAAACTCAGAAACAAATGCATAAACACTGTCTGTAGTTTACGCGAGTAGTCCACATTTAAATAAAACACTTTAACGATTTAAAACGCGATATATATTAGTTAAACTTATTTAAAAATTATCTCCTCGTATAGGGGTACTTGGTTGTGGCTTTCCGAAACGTCGGGACGAAGTTAAAGATAATTTTCAAATAAGCTTAACTAATATATATCGCGTTTAAGCCGTTAAAATGTTTTATTTAAACAAATGCATAAATAAGTTATTTGTCTACAGAACAAGATAGCACAAATTCAGCACAAGAAAAATATTGTTATTTAAAAAAACAATGCTTGTGTGCAATGCTTTTACAGCTTTTCTGTCAATTCGACTCGTCTATATTTCTATATTGTCGTGGCACATACCACAGCGAAGCTAATTCTAGTTCTATGCCACAGAGTATGCTTATTATAGTTTTTCGGAAAATCCCAGCCGTCCGACTGTCAAAGTGTCAAAACTCAAGGTGATCTAATTGTAGATGTAGCAGATTTTAATGTGTGAAATTGGCGATTTAAAAACGAAATTCTCTTCCTCATTAAATAACAATCATCTCCAAGGAGGCGCAATGAATACTGCTTGGTGTAAATGATTGTTTCGTGAGATCGTGTCTTGAAAATTTGATAAACCGAGCGTAGAATGAAACGTGTCTCGAGTATAAATGTTTTAATGTTTCGTTGCGGAATTTTTTATTTATCCGATTGATAGTTTATTGATAGTATGATTGATTAAAAACTTTTAAATAAAACACTTTAACGGTTTAAAACGCGATATATTAGTTAAACTTATTTGGAAATGATTTTTAACTTCGGCCTGACGTTTCGGATGCTTTGCAGCAGCCGTGGCCACGGGGAGACTGAATATATAGCGTTTTAAACCGTTAAAGTATTTTATTTAAATGTGTACTACTCGCGTAAACTATAGACAGTATTTGATTAAAAACTTTATTTTTAAGTCAAGCGTCTAATTATTGTTACACCAAAGCTTAATTATTTTGTATTTTTTAATTTTTTTATACTTGATGATTTTAATATTAACTATAATCATAATGTTATACTAGTTCATTTCAAGGAATTGAAGAACTTAAGACTGCAGGTGGCCTTAATTTCAAATATGACCCTCTGTGTTAACGTACCCTTGTTCGTCTAAACTCTGAAATAGGGGATCGTTGTTAAATTTAATTCCACAATATTTTTCTTATCTAAGGTGTTTTGACTCGCGGAAATTCCAGATATAATAGATATCTTCTTTTAAAATATAAATTATATTATTGCACCACTCATATACTTTATCTGTGGATTTTTAGCCTTAGCTCGAAATCCGTTTTGTTTGATCTGTGGCATGCTAATTAACTTCGCGTTGTTGACTGAATCGTTTGAATGTAAAACAGGATAACAGTATAATCTCTCAAAGCCAGCAAATGTTTCGAGTTATTCGATGCAGCCTAATTAGTTGCTGGAATATATGCAAATAGCGTTTAGATTTACGCGGGTTTTCGGTTGAAATCATTTTTATTGCAATGATACTAAATTGAATCATAATACTGA